TCTTTTTAGCACTAAAAGTAATATGTACTGATTTAATGTATATTAAAGGAGAAGGGAATTAGCTCTTGAATCAAGAGCAACTTAGTTCAGGAGCTAAGGCTCCCACAAAATGTATGTTAAATGTTAATATTTAAAATTATGTTACGAAATTAAACTGACGTAACAAATTTACTTAAAAAATTCAATAAAAATAATATTTATATATATCTAAACAGCTATACAAATAAATATATGTAGGTGTTGCGTAAACAATAGGTTCTCTATAGCGCTCTTGGCCGATTCGCCCAAAGTCATAACGTGCGTCACAAGCGATCTTGACATAATCCCCACCATAGCACTCAAATTCTTATACAAACTCGCTTTTATTGTAAAATTATCGGTATAACGAGATTCAAACTTTATAGCGGCTCGTGGTTATCCGCGCCGCGCAGATGAGGGAAAGCATACACAGATTCCCCTGACCCCAAATCCGTTAACGTCACAGAAGCACCTAAAATTATGTTCTGTTCAGCGTCTTGCACGAACCGCTATAAGGATTATGAATTAGAATAGCAGTAACGGCACATAATTTATGATTTGAGTAGAAAAATGCACTATTATTTAGTGTCGAAATAACATTGTAGTTGCAACAACAACAATTGCATACATTTGAAGTACCAAAAATATCGTTTACACCTAGTTTAAGTTTTGTATTAAAAGTACGTAACATATTCATTCTCAAATAATTTCTTAATACCATATTTACGTTAGCGCGCACCACGACGACCCGATTCAGATAAATTTTGAGGTTAACAACATCACTATTTTTATAGAAACCGACCTCAATGGTGGTAACAACAATTCAAATGTCACTAACCTTAAAACTCACGTATTGAATTTATTTATTTTACACGTCGTGACGATTATTATTATTTTGTTTTTGTTTTTTTAATTCTTAAGCGACATTATGTATATGATAGAAATTGCTTGAATTTTTTAGGATAGCACATACGCGCTTATGTTAAAATTGTTGTGAAATATGAAATGTAAATTTATGTAGTAACAAAAAATAGACTGGCATCTTGATAATAGACGAGTCTAAAGGTTTATTTAATTTTTTTCACTGTATTATTAGCGCGCATGTTTATGTAGCTTAAATAACGAACTTCTACCTTTAGACTCCACACTCAAGTAACCAATTTCTTACAAAACATCTCATCTATTCAAGTTGAAATTGGTTCGAGATCTAATGTTTTTTTTATATTATAAGATGGCAAACGAGTGACCGACCACCTGAAATCGCTGAAATAGCAAAGTGACCTTTGCCCATAGACATATGCAATTGCATATGAGTTGCTTAATTAAAATTAGTGTATCCTATCCTTTTTAGGATTTACAGAAAGAAAATATTATATATAATATATTTAAATGTTAAGCATAAAATGGACTTTCCCTAAACAATCTAGTTTTAAACTTACTGAAGTCACATATTAATGACGTCACATGTAGGCGGTATCCAGTGTCCACAAGTAGACTAGTCAGCAAATCACGCAGAGAGGTAATGTTTGGTGGTTATTAAATCAAATTCGAAGCAATCAATTTAATGTAGAAGGAACGAGGGCAATTGTGGGATCAAGACATGGTTGTACGATCACGGCGTTGCGGCGTGGTACGGAGCCACCAATTGACTAGCGCTCGAGATTTCAATCTAAAATACTTACTCTGATGTTATGCATACGGAGGAACATGCATTGCTCAATTATAGATATTAAACTAAGTTTATAAGTTGTACCAGACAGAGATATTGAGAAGAATAACCTTAGCGCAGTGTTATACGGAGCGATGATGGACATATAAACAATAATATTGAAAGTGCAAGCTTCAAGGTATAGGACGATCGAAAGAAGGGAGTGAATTCAGACACGAATATTCTGATACATGGAAAAGTAGTGCATATTATGCCGACCCTCTACAGGGAGAAGATAGATAGTAAAAACTGGGACTTACTTTAAGCCTTTATATGATACGCGTGAAGAACATTGTTAGAATGTTTTCCGACGTTGTTACTTTTGTCTCTTTAAGGGCGGATATGTAGTTAGAGTATAAGTCAGCTACGTTGTTTGTTATAGAGCTTCGATGCGTACTTTCCTCATCTTTACGATTATGTTGCAGTTTCTTTGATATATTAGCTCCACCAGAACAGAATCTCACTTCTTAATAATATTATAAAAGTGAATATTTGAATATATGGATGGTTGTTTGTTAGAAGTTTTCTCCAGAACGGCTTCATGGATTTTGCTAAGACTTGGCGTAGATGTAGAACATAGTTAAGAAGAATACAGATACTACTACAATAAATTGAAGGTAAATTACTTGGCAATATTTAAACAATACGTCAATATTCTCCGTAAGTTATAAGCTTTGAGTCATTCTAATTCGGAGTTATCGGAAACGTTTAATTATTTCAAACTAAATCGTCGTCAAATGTTTCGTCATCCTAACGTATTATTTTGTCACGTCACAGATACAGTTTTGGGGAATTTTCATAAACAACACATTTGGTTATTATTTCAACTGATCTTATATTGTTTTGAAGGATTTTTTTCATTCAACTTTCATATAAAAGTGATTACTATTTATTTTAACAAAAACTTGTTGTTCAACTCAATTGTTGCGAGTGCGAAATTGTCTTTATTCTTCTGAGTTGCAGTTTCATTTTTAATAAAGAAAATTCCATTTCTTTCTTGCTCAGTTTATTCGCCAAATATTTTCATCGACGACTCCAATTTCAGTTTAATAAGTCAAGATAATTTTAATAATGTATCTCCAACATATACAATAATTGTTTTTAATAATCAGACTGCAAGGTATTTTATCTTTGAATTTTTGGGTTATACATCTACGGAATGAAGTTGATAGTCCTGTCTGTCTGTCTATTGAATATTAGATTAAAAAGGTAAGTTTTTACAAAATCAATTCCAGATAACATTGTTATGATTTAAATGGTTTGCGTGTTCGGAATTCCTAAGAATTATTTAAATAATCCTTGCCATTCTTAGCTTAGGGCAGGCACCGAGCCCCTCGGTGGGGACGTATAGTGAGCTGATGATGATGATGATGATTTAAATAATAAACAAACAAAAAAACAGAACATGTGAAATTTTACATATAATTGAGACAGGGAAATACGTAAACAAAAGATTGTCACTTGTATACTTATGTAATTTACAGGGATATTAATTTTACGCGTTTGCAATTAATACGTCGCCCACCTAACCAGTCCGGTATTCCACCAATCCGTGGAGTTTGTGCAAGAACCGCACTTGCTGACGTCACATCTAGCTTTGCGGTTTCAACTGAGTCAGAACAACAGATTATTATTTATATTAGCGTTCTGTTCTTTGCAATGGTCAGTACTGTATAGACTGTCATTTGGAAATATCGTCCGACTGTACAATACAATTTTGTTTTGTTTTGGTGAAAGTGTTTGTTTATTTTTAATTTTGAATTTGTGATAATCTGTGATAATGCTGTCCGGAAATATTTGTTTTCACATCGATGATTTCGTGGATGTTGTTTTTTGGGTTTATATTTCTCATAACAATAAGGTATGCTATATTTTATTTTTTGAAGAATATTTTAGTTCATAAATGTAGGTATTTTTAATTTTAATAGGGCTGTAAACTACTTTTAATATAATTTTATGTTAGTAAAAATATTTTAAAGTGCAAAAAAGATCCCGAAAATACGAACTTTGCGAAGTACCTTCGTTGCTAACTTGGTGTAACATTAAGTTATTTTTAAGTTTACAATGTCTTAAGTTATCATCACATTATCCCACTCACGTGGGGTCAGCGTCCGTGGTTTTATAAATCTTGTTTGGCTTAATTTTTACAGCCGGCCGTCGGCTTGACGCCAACCCTACTTAGGAGAGAAATTTAAATGACATCTAATCACCTAAGTTAATAAAACTTGGAATCTTGTGTCATAGAAAGTCGTGCCATGACGTCATGAAACATAATAGTCCTGCATTTTTTTTTCAAAAGTTTTATTTTCTTATAATCTTATCCTTATTTTATAATCAATACACAATAAAAAAATCTTGTGGTGTGTTCGTATGATTCAATTGAAAAATTGGCGGGAAAAAATGTGACTAATCTAATTGAATAAAACCTAAAAGGCTGTGGTTTAACGTTAATAGGTGTTCTACCTTTTCGCTTTAAATGTTAACATAATATCGTTTAAAAATTAAAAAAAAAATTAATAAAAAAAATACTTGCATATTTCTTACAAATATTACATTTACAAAAGTTAGGAATACACGAAAGTACGAAAAAGTATTTCACGTGGTTCCTACGTCATTAAAGAAAAACTTGAGACAATCAAAATGTTAAAGTAAAATCCCGAAGTAATTAACAAACCACTAACATGAACGATCATGGAATAAACACAATTATATATTAGGAGGAAAAATTCCTATATTGCTAGTATGATTTCCAATTTCCAGGATTTAATAGTTGTTATTCATTACAAGACATTTTTACTTGGAGTAGTTAATTTTTTCCGCTTATTTATAATATCAACAGACTAATTAATATATTTTATAATTGTTATCTTAAGAGCATCGATGGCATAGGGGTTAAGTGCTTGATTTACAATGTGCTAATTCTGGTTCAATCTTCGGGATATTTCAATATGTTTGTCGATGTTCAAATTTCACATGTATGTACGTTTCGAAATCATTGAGATACAAACTGCACGTATCTGCGAAGAAATTCAAAGAAACCCCCAATTTAGGCTCCAAGCCTATCGATAGGGTCGTACATACGACCTTATGACCTTGTTTTTAATTAGTTTTCTAGTTAAGGTCATAAATATTGAGAGTTCCAAAGGCAGCAAACTATAATTAAATGTCAATAAATGTAATTCAAATCTCTTTATCAAAGGTATGCCGTAAATATATTCGTTAGGAATGTCCAGTTATAAACCCCTATTGAAAATATCTTCTTGTCTCCTTTCAGCAGTCGGAAAGATGGCGTAAACTCCGTAACATCGTGCAGTGGACGCCATTCTTCCAGACATACAAGAAGCAGCGATACCCTTGGATACAACTTGCTGGTCACCAAGGGAACTTCAAAGCTGGACCCGATCAAGGGACCATACTTAAGAAACTCTGTCCTCAGGAAGAGAGATGTTTTAAGGTGAGATAATATCTTTCAGAAAGAAACTTTGTACCTACATTTCTTTCTTTCTCATACGAAACTACAAGGCAAGAAGGGATTCTATGCATTGAACGAAGCAGGTCAGTTTTAGACCACAGTTACTTACGTCAAACAAGACCTAGAGATTTACCTTGCGGTTAACAATTAACATTGTGTCCTGTATAAAAAAAAATATCGTCTTTTAATCATTCCACTGTGACGTCAATGTTTGCGGTTTTATAATTTCACTGTACTACATTTTTTAATTCTGGAAATTTCTACAATCATGGGTATTTCGTAAAAATAATATAATATTAACAAAAAATGATTGACAGCTGGGTTTTACCGTCGGACAAAGTGCGATAATATTTTCGCTGTTTAAAACATAATTAATACGAGCAAGATGATATGAGCCAAACCGACTTATCAAAAGCAAACGTATCTCTCGAGGATTAACCTAGGCCATGTTAAGGTTATTATTAAGCTAATAAGAAGCGAACGTATCATCTTCTCAAAGGTCGGGAACGCGATTTCTCTGGTATTGCAGATATCCATGGGCGTCGTTGGACACTGTGTTTCCGCTGCTCGTTTGCCCCCTTATCTATATATATAAAAATCAATTGCTGTTCGTTAATCTCGCTAAAACTCGGCAGAGCGAATTTATGTTATCTTGGTCTTGAAATGTTCGTGCATGTCTAGGGAAGGTTTTAAAGTTGAGAAAATTCGAATAATTACCGGGAAAACCCTTTGTATCGCGGGCTACAGCTAGTTTTATATAATAATAAAAATTAAACTGTACTATGATAAATCAATTAAATTAATAATATAAGCATTAAAGTACATTGTTTTTGTAAAATCGTAAAATGCATTATTTATGTGTAGACGTTATATTACTTTTACTGATATATATTAAATTTCACAATGTAAGCGGTAGGTATAAAATTCTACACTATATTCGTGTATTGACGTCAATCGAAGACACGAGCACGTATATCTTATATCCAAGACCTGAAATGCGTCATATTATAAGCAAAAAGTCAGAATTACAATGAAACAAATAACCCTCTTAAAAAAACTGCATTATTTAATAAATTCAGATAATAATTAAAATGGAAAGATTAAATAAGTTTAAATAATTAGTTTATACAACCAAATTTATTTTATCTTGTTTTTTATCACGTTACAACTTGAAAAACTTAATTTAAATATCAACAAATGATATTAATACTTTGACGTCAGTCCAGTTCCACCTAAAGTGGGAATCTGGACGCACGGCACTGCCCCGTAAGTAAACGCGGTCAAATAATCCTTTCTCGAAACGACATACCGTGAGTTTCTGGGACAAAAATCTCCGTTTAAAACAAATTGTTATCTCGGTTTTGTCAAAGATAATGTCAGGGATGACGATACGTTTTAAACCGAGATTTTGGTCTCAGAAACCCAAGGTTAGAGCTCCATATTTTCAATTCCAGTATCATCTAATAACGACTTATAGATGAACTTAAGTAGAAAGAAGTCTCGAAGTTGGTAGTCAGAATAAAAATAAAATAATTATCATAAAAGATAAGTAAACTGTAAACACATTTAAATCGTCGATGTATCATGTTGTACGTAATTTGTTAAAAAAAATGTTGTTAGGTAATTACCCAAAAATTGTACAATCTCAACAATTTATTAATGAAAATAAAATGTAAATTAGTGAAGCTACAATACGGGTGAGATGTCACGACAGGGTCAGACTGTATCGGGTCATATTAAAATCGCCATTGTATTACCCCGAGTTGCCGCAATCTGACGCATCAATTACGTACACATTGACACACCTCCTGTCATTAATTACACATAAGAATTCTATTTACTTTTTTGAAATCGATCGCATTATTGATTGTAGAATGACGCAAGTATAAATTATAAGTGAATTATTCATTTTTAATTACACACTCTAATGGAAAAACATGAACTGTTGACATTGGTGTAAGTCAATTAATTTAACCGATACCTTTTAAATCACTATTTAATAAGATAATTTTTTCACTATTTTTATTTACCGACTGGCAATCATTTTGTTATCGTATAATTATGTCTGAAAAACTTTTACTAATAAAGTTAGTATTACTAAAGTTTGTGTTTGTCAAAAGAAAAACGGACTTATGAAAGTTACAACGGTACATTTATGTTATATTTTTATTGTAAAATTGTATGGATAAGAAAATAAAAATACATAAAAACAATACAAAAACGTTATAAAAGTTGTCAAACAAATATGCTTTTGGGAGATTGTTAGTACTTTATTGACAATTGAAGTAAAATAAATGGGTTTAACTTGATTCTACAGCAATTAAATTCAGGTATTTACGTTCCTCAAAGCGGAATACAAAACCAATATGATTAATCGCTTGTTGCGATAAAACTAATTGACGCTGAGGCTTCGCATTAATAATGTACGGAGGTAGCAATCTCTTACTTGTGAAAAAAATATTCAACTGTATTGTAGAATAAAGTTTTTTTCGCTTACGCGTGTTAGATATTTGATGATAAAAAATCAGTTTTGTCTACATAATGTAAGATCAACTAATTCACTCTAACAATAATTAACAATTACTGATAAAAATTTGGAAGAATACTTACAAAATTGCATCATCATTAGCTCACTATACGTACTCACTGAGGGGCTCGAAGCCTACCGTATGTTAGGGGTAACTAGGTAAGCAACCACGCTGGCCCAATGCGGGTTGACTTCATATCATTGAATCTCAGATATGTGCAGGTTGCATCACGATGTTTTCCTTCATCATAAGAATAATTTGCCTAAAAGTAATTGTGTATAATTTTCATTGAATAATTTTTTATTCCGTGTTTTATTTTATTCAAAAATTTGTCTGTTTTCATTTCAGTTGCTGATGAAAGATATCCTCCGGCCGTTTGTACCCGAATATAAAGGTCAAGTGACTTGCGAAGACGGAGAATGTATCCTTTTTAATTCAAATGAATAATATTCTTGAAAAAAAAATTGTCTTTGGACTTATAGTTTCATCATAAAAATTAGTGTATAATATTCATGTTATTGTCAAATTATCCAATTTTCCTTAACCAATGTTTCCAAACAGTGTACCTCCAGCTTCAAGATCTCCTCAGTGATTTCGATTCGCCGTGCGTTATGGACTGCAAAATTGGAGTAAGGACGTACTTAGAAGAAGAACTAGCAAAAGCTAAAGAAAAAACCAAATTGAGAAAAGTAAGTATGCAAATTAGTGTATTTATGGACAATTTTTAGTTGATTGAGTGTTGTTGCGTTTAGAATTGTCCCTTTTTCTTATAAGGACAGGATGGGAAGTGGAAATGGACTTTCCGGATGAGAGGATGCATGGAAAGGGAAGATATTTTCTTTCTGTGCATCCTCTCCTCCGTCGATTCAAGGTAGGCAACGCATATGCAAATGCGTATGTCTATGGGCAACGGTCACTTCGCTATTTCAGCGATTTCAGGTGGCCGCTCGCTCGTTTGCCACCTTATGATATATATAAAAATGTTTCTGAGAATAAAGTGCCCGTGTAAAACATATCAACATCCCTGTCATTATCTTTGACATAACAAAGTTATCAATACAAACACGAAGCTTGGTTTATGACTGAACTTTAAATGTTTCATAGTAATGTTGAGTTTTGGCTTATACGAGTATCTATATTAAATATGACGATATTTCTTAAGACTAATACTGTAGTATTTATTATCTAATTTACCTAATAAGCCTAAATTAAACAGGAGTGAATTTAAATAGAACATATTTAAATTTATTGATTTATTTTTAGTCCTTAATAACTTTTAACAGCTGATAAGGACATAAATAATATTACAACAGCTGTTTATTCTATTTAAATGTATAAGCTGGTAAATTCAGGTCAAGTTACAATCAGAAAGGCAACTAAATGATAACATTGCGAACTATTTACTACAAGATCGGATGAAAACATTATAATATTATCTTCATATTTATAACTTTGACGTAAATCGAGACAGAAATAGTAAAAATATGAAGAAATAAACATTTTATTTATATTAATATAGATATGATGCTCTATTAAATAAATATAACAGTTTTACAAACATAACTAGCGGTCGTCCGCGACTCCGTCTTTGCGGAATTAAAAGAAAAACGTAATTAGTAGTAGCCTATATGTTCTTCCAGACTATGTTCTACATCAATTACAAATTTCAGCAAGATCCACTCAGCCATTCTGAAGATACCTTCAAACAAACATCCATCCATCCATCTAAACATTAATATTAGAAAGATTAAAGAGTTATCTCAAAATACAGGGACTTTACGACTTTATAAATAAAACAGAGTTATAAATCAGCGATATTAAAAGGGGCTTTATTTTTTACAGGACATGTATGAGAAAATGATACAAGTCGACCCTAAGGCGCCAACAGAAGAAGAACACAGAAGTAAAGGAGTGACGAAGCCGAGATACATGATTTGGAGGGAGACTATTAGTTCCACTTCAACTCTTGGCTTCAGAATAGACGGAGTCAAGAAGGCTGATGGAACCAGTTCGAAAGACTTTAAAACTACGAAGACGAGGGAACAAATCTTAGAAGCGTTTCAAGATTTCACAAATAGTTTTCCTAATGCTGTGGTAAGTTAACATTTTTAGTTTTTTCTTTAATTTTTTTTTTCAAAGCCAATATTTCCAATAGTTCAGAACTCAATAAGAATGGTTATTTATATTTTGTCTGAGAAACCATTGATTAGGAATTAAGTTGAAACTACTACATGGTACTAATTTCATATTAGTCTAAACTTTTTCTCTTATTTTTTTCAACAGCCGAGATATCTGGAAAGGCTGAAAAACATTCGAGCAACTCTCATAGAGTCACACTTCTTCAAGACTCACGAACTGATCGGTAGTTCGTTGCTCTTCGTCCACGATAAAAGGAAAGCTTCCATTTGGATGATTGACTTCGCAAAGACCGTTCCAGTACCCGACAATGTCACCATCGATCACAACTCAGTATGGAAAGTTGGTAACCATGAAGATGGTTATCTTATTGGTATTAATAATCTAATATCAATATTCGAGTCCCTCACGAAGGATGACAATGGGAACATAGATCAGTGCTATTCAAACTTAAGTTTAGATAAAAACGTTAGAAGAGACAGTTTAGCTACTTGAAACTTGAACACGTTTGACTTTTTGTGCATTGTGTATTCGATTATCAGTAGCCGGTACTACTGTATGAAGACAGGTGACTAAACGGATCGTATCGAAGTGGTCACGACGTGTAAATATCGTAAGACTGTTGTCTTGTTGTAAAAAGATTTAGTTAAGTTTAAATTGTACACCTTTTTGTATTAACAATAAGTGTTAAAATACTCAAGTTAAAGAGTAGCTTAAGGAGCCGTCACTTAATTTTCTTAGTATGTAGATTGAACAAATGATTGCTTTAACTTTAACTACGTAACTAAATACGTAAACAATGCAGCAAAATCCAATATAATTTCAAAATTATTGGGTTTTAATGTTTTGCTGCGTAACATTGTCTAAAAAAAGATTACATCCTTAACTGTGAGACATTAAATTAAAGTTTAATCTAATATAAATTTGTTAAATCTATTCAAATGATGTAAAAGTTTTTTGTTTTTAATTTTTTTATTTAGCAACATCAAAATATTTTGGATTGTATTAAATTTTTCATTTCCGTTAATAAAATATATAGTTGAAACCAATCGTATTGATAAAATGTAAATGTATAAATAATATGTTAAGTTGATTACATTTCAAAAGATATATAGACTGTAAAATGACTTTTGATGAACTTTGTTCAAATATCACGTTATATTTATTATGTACACTATATTAGTGTAAAGACTAGATACAACTTTAATAAAAGTTGTACTAAATTTATCAGGAAGTACTAATTAAAACATATCACATATAATTTGTGTTTTACTTACAATAATAATAAATAAGTAAATTAAATAGAAATTTTAAATTGTACTAAAATTACAACCTCCGATCATCTCTCTGATACAATATAAAACGACAGAATACTCACATTTTAACAGGCAATTATTGCATAATTTTGGAATGTTACAATGCAACTTTTTTAATGGACGGCTTGGTACTAAATATAGATCTTAAATATTACTTAATAAATAAATTGCACTAAAAAAGGCACTCATTTAAGACTATGTTTTATCTTTACTCGTACTACTATTACCACTATCAATTACAATGTCCGTTAAACTTCCTCGCCTTGAACTAGATTCAGGGCTGGAGCCACTTTCTTTACGTATTCTTGAAAAAAGTCTTGGCACAGGACCACTCGAACGGCTTAAATCATTTGGAGCAGGCGAGTATCTCCTAGTTCGAGGTTGTTGAGGCTCTTCTTCTTGTGTACTTTCTGTGTACGGTGGCGGAGGTTGATTTAACATAGTCATTCTGTTTTCTCTCGCTGCTTTTGCTGTAATTTGTAATTCTGCTCCAGCAACGACAGTTGCCAGTGTCGGTGTAAATTGTGGAGCTGCCGCTCTAGCTGAAACCCTTCTGCGTCTTGGCCCTGTAACGTCTTCTGTTTCGAATCTACTAGGAAGTGACGGCAAAGAAAAGTCAGGCCTTAAAGATCCACGCCTTCTATTTTGGCCATTATCAAATGCTCCGTCTGTCCCAATCGTGTTATTAGCTACTTGAGAAGCAGTCTCCAAAGCTGCTAAAGCTCGTAGTAGGTCTGCTACACTGGTTTGTTCCAAGACTTCTACTTGTGCTGACTCCGAAAGAGTAGACAAATCTACGTCAGGATCAAATAAACTTGGTCGACCACGTCTAGTCATGTTCCTGTATTCGTCTATATCGCCGGAGAAAAGACTACTTCGGCCACCTTCGGTAGCATTTCTATAGCTTTGTATGTCGCCTGCAAATAAGCTATTTCTTCCTTTTTTTGTTTGGTTTTGATATTGTTTTATACTGGTTTCAAGATCACTGGTACTACCGCATGGAGAGCTAGTTTTCCGGTCTTTACCAAATGTAGGGAACAAACTACTTCGTCCGCGGCGTGTTTTTTCTTTATAGTTCACTAATTCATCAGAACTCTCAGGAAGCGTATCATCATCATCTTTCTTTGATTTTCCAAATGTAGGAAATAAGCTAAGACGGCCTTTCCGAGTTCGATTTTGATATTTTTGTACTTCCTCTTCATCAACAGTATCAGTATCCTCATCATTACTTGTGGGATTACTAAAATCAAACGTTGGGAATATGCTGTGTCTTCCGCGTTTGGTTCCTTCTTTGTATCGTTTAGCGTCTTCATCGAGATTGCTGAAATCGAAAGTAGGAAATATACTGCGCCTGCCAGAGCTAGTTTTCTCTTTGTAATCGTTTAAAGAGGACGTATTTTCATCTTCACTAAAATCAAATGTAGGGAAAATACTATGTCTTTTAGGTTTATGTTGATACGCTTTGGCTGCAGCCATGTCTTCATCTTCAGAAAAGTCAAAGGTTGGAAATATGCTATGTCGGCCTCTCTTCGTCTTTTCTTTATAAGCTTTTGCTTCATCGTCTTCGTCTTTGTTAAAATCGAACATTTGAAATATACTGTATCTCCCTCGTTTAGTTTTTTCTTTATACGAATTTTCATCGCTTTTTTGTTCTGGAGAGGAATCGCCAAGTCCAAATGAGGGGAACAAGCTGCCGCGTCTAGTTTTTTCTTGAACATTGTCACTAGAACCTTGCGCTAGACTAACTCTGCCTTTCATAGTATTTTTAATATATTCTGCAGGACTTTCATGTGCGCTTGGTTTTCTGAACAGTCTTGAAAATAAACTTTTTGAAGGCTGAAGTTTGTCGGACGTAGAGTCTATATTGGTAGGAAGCGATAGCTTTCCGCTTCTCATATTGGCCTCTTTTCTGTATTTTTCAGCGGTATCACCATTAGTCCAAGTGAAATCATGATCTAATTTTGAAACCGATTCTTTTCTATAATTCGGTACTGCAACACTTAGGGCTCTTGTTCTTTTTGGCGAACTAGATATAATATCTTGCCCTATGCTGAATTTAGGCGGGTTTTCAGTTGCGAGTATATGATCATCATCAAACATATGTATACCTCTTTCTTGCTGCGCTTCGAATCCCCCTAACACATTAACAACTCTTGCTAATAACTCTGCTGGTTTCACTATAGCAGAGGCTGTGAAAGTTTTTTCCTTATCAATTCCAAGTAAATCTGTATCTGATTGAATTCGAAGCATGTCTCTCGCCGAAAGTGCAATATTTTCGGAGTTTGCACGTTTTCTTTTCACTATTGGTCCTCTTGGTTCTACGTCAAAAGTAAGTATAGGGCAACTTGCACTTCTATGAAGTTGCGGTGCTGCTTCAACATATACTGGCTGAAAATGATAAAAGTGTTATTTATTAAAAATAAAGATATTAAATTATTATAAAATGTTCGTAACCGTACTGAAAAAGCCGTTTCATAATTACATCTCAAAATTTTCTTACCTTTAACTTTAAAAGATTCGCTTCATTAATGATCTTCCTTATGTTGGCCATGTCTTTTGTAAAGCCTTGGAATATTTTACTCTGGGTGGATTTTAACTGGTATGCCAATTTCTGTTCCAATTTGTGTATTCGCTCGGATCTCATACCGCTCGTAATAAATCCAAGTAACATGACAATGTATCCTAAGCCGAAGGTAATCCAGATAATAAGAAATATCTGGTACGTGAAGAAGTAGCCATACTTGAAACCGTTGTTGACAGTTCCTGAAATTAGTCAGAAAATAACATATTGATAATGTAAGAAATAAATTCAATTTATTCAGAACCCAAGTAAAAGCTGGCTCTCGATCGCTGGCTATCCACACGCAACCGTGCGGTTTCGCGAAACTTTCTACTTCGCACAGCCGCGTTGTAGAATGGCCTGTCCTGGGCGGTAATCCCATCCACTACGACTTTGGGCTGTTCAAGAAGCAACCCTATCACCATCTCAGCAATGCATCTTCAGTTACTCTGGTAATGTACATGTCTATAGACATCGATGATCACCTCACTGTTCCCGCTGCTCATTTGCCCCTTATCTTATATAAAACACAGTTTGCATGCCGTCTAATTTATAGAAATACATTTTATTATACGGACCTGCAACTAAATCTCCAAATCCAATAGTAGTCAGTGTGACGAATGCATAGTAGACAGCGGCCACATAATCCCATCCTTCAAATACTACGAAGATGCACGCAGGCAGAAATATGAAGAAAAGAAATCCAGGGATCAAGTAGAGCATGATTTGCCCCAGCATGCCGAGGTTGTTAAAGAAGTAGTCCAAATTGTCGGCTCGTTTTTCATTTCTCTTTTTGTATTTCCGGTAAGTTGATATAAGCTGAAAATTAAAGAATATAAATATCAAAACGAGCCATAAATACTATCTCATGGAAGTAGTTACTAATTTGAACGTTCCTGAGCATACATCACTTTCCAAATCACTGCTGTTTATTATTTTAAAACTGTTTTAACTTTTTTAAGTAGTCAATGAAATTGCTAATATAAAACAAAAGGCGCTTGTTACTCGACAAAAAATCGTTTACATTGTTAACGATACGAGAACTGTCAGTTCTTAAAGTTTTCATACTTAAGAAAATTTAGTAACACAAGATTTTTAAATGATTCCTTTTGTATTTTTAACTATTATTTTAAAATCTACTCAAATTATAAGTAAGATTTGATTGATAGTTTATTATATAAAGAAGCATAAAAATTACCTGTAATCCAAAATATTCACCGAGATTTGCTAAAAGTATACCATTGATAGGTATACCGAACAGTCCGTAAAATATCATCAGGATTCGCGACAAATGTGTTGTTGGCGATAAATTACCGTATCCTGAAATAAAGACTTCATCAATCATACACACTACTAAAATACATGTTGAAAAACATATTGTCATCTCTGTTTGTTATTGAAGAATTAGAGGGATGAACATTTTGTTTTCATACAAGTTTTCGGCGTGGAAACAGTTTATCTATCATCTACTAATTGTCATACATAGTAAAATGATGTTACAATGATGACTCTTACGTAAAGTTTTTTTCCATCGTTTTGTTACACTTACTTATATTGTTCATTAGTAGCGCAACATTATAGGGATTATTTAAACTAATACGGAGGCGCTTTAACATAAGACTACAGAGTAACTAGACGTTAGCGAGATTCGTTAGCCAGGGAAATTAAGATGGTTGTATGATGTGGAACAAAATCGTAAAAATATCGACATTTGACTGGAAGCAAAAGGCCAAAGTAGACAGACATGGATGGGTTTGTTCTTGTTTTCATAGAATTAAGAAAAAAAACAAATGCAATCGTAGTGTGTTAAAGAATCTTACCAATAGTACTGACGACGGTGTATGAGAAAAAGAACGAATGATAGAAGTCCCATTTAAATGGTGGCTCTTCATCTTCTGTGGTGTAGTTGAACATGGACTTGCCGCAATAGTCCGATAGCTTCCGGAGTATACTGTCCTGTTTCTCTGGATCGTTCGGGATGTAGTTCTCATATAGGAGATCTGGAATGACAATAATCGATAATAAGTATAAAATATAAGTACTATTATTAAGTACTAATTTTACTTTTTAAAAACCGAATAAGATTTTTTTTATGGATCTGGATGAAACTTGGAACAGAGATAGAATACAATCTGGGATAGCGTATAGGCCAATAAGCTTTTTGTTCCAACACGGACATAGTCGCGGGCGACAGTTAATTGTAGATATAAAGTCACTAATGAAAATTAGGCAATGTAAACTGTTAATAATCAACTTTATTAACGTTAAATGTTAATTGAATATAAGTATAAGACTTGTTTGACTGTAGCCTGCGACTCCGTCCGTGTGAATTTTA